CGACACCACCTTCAACCACCCTGTCTACTACAACGACGACCACCACCATGCCAACACCTGTTGATTTCTTACCCAATGGATGCCCTCTGAACCCTCTTATCCACTGGCTGCTGCCTCACCCAACGGATTGTAACGCCTTCTACTACTGCGTTTGGGGAGATTTGGTGTTGAGACACTGCCCTGCCAATTTACATTTCAACAGAACGATTCAGGTAAGAGAAATGTTAAAGACTCATTGATAACATACTTGTGTAAATGTAAAATATTTGAATATTCTTACAGATATTAGAAATCTCTCGCATTATCGTATGACAAAAGGTTCGGTCTTTAATGAGACTCTTAACGTAGAGGGTACTCAACGTTTTCTTGATTATTTCATGAATAGAAATTGATTTGATTAATTTTAAACTACTTTCAAACATTTTTTGTTCCTAATCCGAGAAGAAACGAACTTCCGCACGCTCCAGCCGTCGCAGGAGACGTTCTCAGCGTGGATTGTTCCACTTTGGTTTACACCTAAAAGATTAAGTAATATCACTCAGGTGAACAAAGGAGATTTTTTCATAATTTCACCTTTTGTTCTCACTACACTTTAATGGTCCAGACCATTGTACTTTTTTACTTACCATTGACAAACGGGGAAGGAAAACATCGTGAGGAAACCTGGGCTCATAATTTCTAATAATAATATAAGTTCCAAAGCAATAAACCGCTTTGAGCAAGCGTGGTGATTAACGCATGTTCAATCCTTTTTTGTGTGAGAATAGGCCTTTGGCCAGCGGTGGGCACTTATAGGATGTTGATGATGTGATGTGAATTTCACCTGAGTGGTCTCACTTGGGTGAAATAATTCCTAGATGGAATGAAGAATTGAAGACACCAAAAAACTTGCTTACCTGGGTTAAAGGTGATATCGTCATACACCTGGGCCCCGGAACAAAGCAGGATCCCTGACACTTCGTGTCGCCTCACAAAGAACAGGTCATTGGTTGATATTCCACCAATGACCTGCTCTTATAAAAGATAAATTAAAATCCTATAAAATATCGATTACTGCATTTCTTATAATGACATTGATTGCAGAATTATATAAATATCAATTCCCATCGATATCTAACCATCTCGCAATAGCGAGAACAGAATCAATTTAATTACTTATTTTCAAAATAGTCGAGTGACAAAGTAAGAACATCTAAAGTACTAGAGTGCTGCAGATGTATTTTTACTTTGGTTTCTTTTTCTTTTTTTTACCCCAATGTAGGAAATTCTGATGCAGCCCCCTCGCCTGGGGAGGAAGGAATTATAAGTTTATCATTTAAACAAATATCCCGATTCATTTAGTGCATACGTGCACTATATGCAACTGGTTACAGGGAAATAATTACGTTGTGGGTTTGATACCCGCATTAAACATTTATTTGTGTTACATAATTTACGAGGGCCAAAACATCTGAAATTGTTTTTTTTAAGTTAATAATATAACATTATTTGTTCCTCAGGTTTGTGATTGGCCTTGGGCCGCCGGATGCCCAGCCTCGTTCAACAAACACTTGCCATCCAGACAGTTACTGAGATAATTTACCTGAGGACCGCAATAACTAAAATGAATTCAAATGAGACAATGTGAAAATTATGTATACTTCTTTTTTAACTATTTTATACCCGACAGTATTCTTTATGAATAAAATCTAAGCAAGCTTTAATTAAAGTGTTTTAGTAAGTTATATCCTGAATAATATAGACACTAGAAACTTGGATTCGATAGTAAAACCCTCTAACCACTTTTTTACGAGCTCGAAAATCTCTCGAGTTTTTGTTGAAAACAAAATTTATACACACATTTATGATTAGAAGAATTTATATCTTCCAGGTTGCTTATCAAAATGTGTGGCGCTGGTATTTTTAATTAAATTATTAATAACTCATATTTTGTTAGAAATTTCATTGACTTGCTTTTTTCAATAAAATGTCGTCTACTTCACGGCAACATCTACAAAGACGGAGTCTAACGTAGTCAATTTCCGCTGACTCTTGCTTTCCGGAATGTATCCGTTCCGATAATTGATCATCTTCAGCTTTTTGCATAACTCTGACGCCCACACTCAACTTTCGCTCCTATATAGAGTCGAAAGTGCAACTGGCCGGTAGGAAGTTGGGTATCCTATGGAGGGTGAGACGGTTCTTAACGCCGAAACAATTGCTAAGTCTGTACCAAGCACAGGTTAGGTCCTGCATGGAGTACTGTTCACATCTTTGGGAAGGCTCGTCTAAATATCAGCTAGATGCGTTAGAGCACATAGAGAGGCATGCCAAGAGGCTCATTGACGATGATGCGCTTGTAGAGGCTTGGCTTCAAAGGCTCGAACATAGGCGTAAGATTGCAAGCCTTTCGGTTTTCTATCGTTTTCGGTTTTATACATATCGGTGAGTGTGCGGGCAATTGCACAACTTGATTCCCCGTAGTCCTTGTCATCAAGACAATGGTGTCTGTCAGAGAATGAATAAACCAATGTATTGTGCAGTCTTCTGTTTTACTCAAAATAACCTGACAGAGCTTATACAATTTGGTTTTTCGAACTATAAAGTTGCCCAGTAAATTTTCACAAATCATGGTCAACGTCTTTGCTTACAATGAAACTTGGTTAAGTGGGACCTGGATAAGTGAGAAACCTCAATAACTGGAACTCATACTGAGGTCCCAACACTTTAGCATTGAATGACCTGTGTTAGTGGGACGAGGTAAACCTCTATATCTGGGATTTGTTCTTTCGAAATTTTATATGCATAAACCTCTGTAACTGAGATAACATTGTTTGTTTACTCATTTTTATTCTAGCCACAAATTTCACACGTAATTCCAAGTCTACCTCTATTAATGGAACCCTTTGTAAATGAGACAGATATTTATTTATACCAGTATATCTGAGACACTGGGTAAGTGGAATACCTCTTTAAGTGAAACGACATTGCAGGTTCCTTGATGTCTCACTTAACCAAGTTTCACTGTATATCTAATATCTACATGGAGTGTCAGTTCACGAATAGCGTAACAAAAATATGGAGTGAACTGTTCACTGCAATGCACTTTCCCGTCAAGTAGTTCCAATCGGGTCACATAGGAGTCACTACGTGTACGCTATAAATTTGTAAACAATAAGTATACGGCAAAAATGGCCACATGCTCCACAAAATAGTGTTAAAATTATAAATGACGATTAAACAGATCGCTTATCCATCATTAACTAAAATCGTGGGCTACTCACGTGAATATACTGAGAAAAGCTCTACTAGTTTCGAACCACAGACACTTACCCGCGATTTTAGTTATCACGTTGAGTACCGTCATTATAGACACAATTAAATGACAATAGGTTGCGGTCACCGGTGTCCTCGCGGTGTTTGACAGTTTAATTTAGTATGTCTCACGATAGTTATTATAAAAACACGCTTATCCATCGTTATGTAATTAAAAATTACATTACATATTCAATTTATGTTTTTGGCCTAATTAATTGCCGCCATATTTTATCAGTGTAGCCAATTTATTTTTCAATTTCTCACGAGTTTCATAAAGAGGAAAAAATTTAAAAAAAAAGTCTCACTTGTTTGTGAATTAAAAATTAAATAGCTGTTTTATTATTTGTCGATCTTAACTTAAGTACGCTTTAATGTAGGTCCTATTTATTCTAACCCACTAATAAGAAGTTTCGTTTAAGGGTACAATAATCTATATACTAATACTAATACTAATACTAATACTAATACTAATACTAATATACTAATACTAATACTAATACTAATAATATTATAAAGAGGAAAGATTTGTATTTTTGTATTTTTGTATTTTTGTATTTTTGTATGTTTGTAATGAATAAACTCAAAAACTACTGGACCGATTGCAATAATTTTTTCACCATTAGAAAGCTGCATTATTCAGAAGTAACATAGGCTATATAATATCACGCTAGGTCCTATAGTTGTGGAGCAGTAACCAAAAATGTTTTAAAAACGGGGGAAAAGTATCGTTTCTGAGGCCTTCCGTGGCGTGCGCTGAGCATATAGTTAAAGTTATACAAAAATGCTCTATAGATGAATTGTTCATCTTAACATTATTTTCACAAAAGTCCGCGAGAGCATATGTCTACCTTTTATAGTTTACCCATAACAATCGTTTTAATGAATGGTTCAAATGTAAAAAAACTATTTAAAAACAAACTTTTACCTCAACCAAAACAAACAACAACAAAGTAGGTAGGTTCCTATTTAAGAAGAAAATAATTAATAAAATAAATGAAATAAGTAAATGAAGTCCGGAAAAATATTTTCAAAAGGTAAATACTTCCTAAATAAAAAAAAACTGAGAATAAATAAAACGTAAAACTATGTAAAAAATCTTAAGTCCCCCCGTGCGAAGCCGGGACGGGCCGCTAGTATTTTATAAATTGGGTTTATAGAAATAATGTTAAGATTGTCTTAATATGAAAATGATTATTTCCATACGGAAAATTATTTATTTATTTATTTATTTATTTATTTAAGTTTTATACAATACAATTGCATAAGGAGGACTTAATGCTAACAGCATTCTCTGCCAGTCATCCTTTGGGTAGTGCAGAAATGTATGTGGTAGGTGGTAAGCTGCAAAGATGTTAGTGGTAATTATCAAAATTAATAAGGAGCATCAAAGCACACATAAAATACGTATATAATAATATATATAAACATATATATATATATAGATAGATATAAATAACATCATACATAATATAATCTATCTATGAGCCGTATATGAATTTATCCTATATTAAAACAAGATGAAAACTAATAAAAGATGTTATGAAACTGCCAGCTTTCTGCTAATGTACTCACGCGCCCTCCGCTTGAAACTCAAACGACTGGTTGCGGTTCTGACATTCGTTGGAAGCGTGTTCCAGAGAGAAATGACTTGTATGAAGAAAGAAGAATGAGTAAAGTTACTGTGATGGGCAGGACAGTGCAAAAGCCGATTATGCGAAGAGCGTAGATTTTTAGTATGGTTGTCACATACATACTGGAAATGTGAAGTTAGATAGTTAGGGGAAGTGGGAGAGAAAAGCAGAGAAAATAAAGTTGTGAGTGCCCTTAGCTCTCTGCGCTGACGAATAGGCAACCATTTCAACCATGATCGCTGTGCAGACACATGATCGTACTTACGTAAGTTAGAAACGAATCGAATGCAGCTATTTAGAAGACGGTCAAGTTTGTTGAGGAGATCTGCATTCAGGTCATAGTAACACACATCACCATAATCGATGATGGGAAAAATTAAGGTCTGCACAAGCATCGCCTTAGTGCTGGGAGGTAGTATATTTCTGAGACGGTACAGAGACCGCAGCGATCCGGTAACCTTTTGACTCACACTGGCAACTTGACTTCGCCAACTGAGGGTACTATCAATGTGTATACCCAGGTCCTTAACGCTCTCACTATATTGGACAGGCGTTCCGTTGTACAGTACAGGCGGTAGTATAGTAAAGTTTATTTTGGCCATACTTTTACTACTACCAATAATAATCGCTTGACATTTGTCAGGATTAACAGCGATTCCAAACCTCTTGGACCAACTCTCAATAGCAGCCAAATCACGGTTGATTTTGGCGATGCACTGGTCCAGTTCAGCCACTACTCCGTGACAGTACACCTGTAAGTCGTCAGCATATAGATGATACGCACCCTGAAGATCAGAAGTTATAAGATTGATAAAAATAGAAAACAGAAGAGGAGAAAGTATGCCGCCTTGTGGAACGCCATTGTGCAGTGTGACCCAACTCGATGACGTATCATCAACCTGCACCATCTGCTGACGCCCACGAAGGTATGAAGAGAACCATTCCAGTACTCCATCAGAGACCGACAGATAGGCCAGGACAGCTAAGAGGATTTTGTGACTGACCATGTTAAAGGCGTTAGAGAAATCGACCAGCACCAGTACTGTCACCTTGGTGTCCTCCATTGCTGCCCTAACATCGCCAGTCACAAATTACTCATATGGCAAAATATAAATATCAACGCAGTGTCCAATAAAAAAAAATCAAAGAGATGGTTTTACCAAAATATTTATGGGAGATATTTTGATGGGAGAATTTTTGTCGTAGTTGGTATCATTTTTGCACCGTGTAAACCACAAGCCGCATGCACACATGCAAGAAATTTTGCAACATCAATTTTGTTGCTCTATCTAGATCTACATCTAGACATATTTATAATCTAAGGGTCAACGTCATCGGTCATCGTATGCGCGCGCGTTGTTGTCGAAGCAGACGTGGTCACTGTGGAAGCCGATGTCATTCTTGGGAGAATGTAACTGTATTTGAGTGAGTCGTTCCAATTAGATATTTTCCTAAAATTTCATCTTACCAAAAAATCGTTCCCCAGCTTCCCATAACTTTCTTTACCAAGTAGTCCTATATCATTTCAAACAGTGCTTATTTTGATTACGTATCAATAGCTCACACATTAAAATATTCCTTAGTTACAAAACTAGTTTGCTAACGAGGTGGGAACAATTATTTAACATTAGTTAAAAGTAGTTCCGTTATTTCACAGTTGTAGCGTCTAGATTTGGAAGAACGCTTTATTAAATTCCAAACCTTACATGCTAAATTTGACCATTTACAGACTTAAATTGACGTGTTTGCCGACGATGCTGAGTCCACGTTTACGAAGCGTGAGGTCTTTGATCTTCAGTCTGGTGGCACTCACGCGCAGCCTGCTCGGCGCTTCGAACAACGGTGTTGGGTCGAAGGCGGGCTTCAAAGATGCTGACTCAGGTGCACATATTTCCTCACGGACTTTCCTTTGTTCGTTTGCCAAAAATAGAAATTGTCACTACGTCGTTATTATTACAACACAAGTTTGGGAGAGCCATGCTTCGGCACTAAGAGGCCGGGTCGACCGGAGTGATACCACGGCCGAGCAGAAAACTGGCGTTAAACAACAGCGTTGTGTTTCGTCGTGTGAATGACGTTACCGGAGGCCCAGTTACCACCCTCCCTAATCACCCGAATCCCCGAATCCTCTGAAATCCTCAACTTCCCAATTCCCAAAAGGCCGGTAACGCACTTGTAACGCCTTGGTATTTCGGGTGTCCATGGGTGGCACCTATTGCTTACCATCAGGTGATCCGTCTGCTCGTTTACCGGGTTTTGCAATAAAAAAATCGTCATTACCCTATCAGCCACAAGACGTCCATTGCTGAATATAGGCCTCTGAGTAAATGACATTACGAAAAGTTTTGGACAATTTGTCTAAAGTGGCACATTTTAATTTTAGTATATTACAGCCCGTGTGTGGTTGCCTTATGTTCAGTTTTTCAAGATTAACTTTTAAGGTTTTTATATTTACCAATTAAATTCTCTTTATTACGTAACGTGACTCTAATGCCAAACCGTCTGTATGGGTTAATATATAAGAACATTACATTTTAAAGTAAACAATTTTTTTTATTTCTGTAGCAAATGTCATTGAAAGTCTATATAATTTAAATTCTTGGAAGACTTATCATTTACCTTTTATGTGTACCTATGTATGTAACGGAATCCAAAACGGTCTAGTTATCTCATTTCTACTGTAATAGGACATAATGAACAGGACAAGACATTATTTTTTATGTTAACTATGAAAAGTCAGTTTTTATGTACTCCAGTTTTAAACGAAATATAATAGAGGTATATGTATAATTTTTTAAATAAGTAAACTTTTATGAAATTGAAACAAGACTCAGAACTTGGTAGGTTGGATGTATTCTATTAACATAACAACAAATAATTTCAAATACTGGTAATCATGTAATTTTTACTAATTTGTTTTATGAAGTAGAACGTATTAAGAAGTAGGTATCTAACTTTATCAAATCAAAAGTGATGAATGTATATATTTATAATACAGTTTTGATAGTCTGCAACCACTAAATGTTGATAAGCAATACATTAATTGATCATCTAGTCATCTAATAGATTAAAAGAACATGGTTTTCTACTTAAGTTAAGGTATAAAACTTATTAGAAACGGTGCTGGACTATTCAATTGGATCTGAAACTCACAATGAAAGGTTCGTGGCTCTAAAATAATTTAGTTCGGTGATCGGTTCGATACTAAACAAAAAATAATATGTGGCATTTTTGAAATCGATAGATGTATTTTAGTATTTTAATAATTCATATACAGATTAAAGTTGTTTATATTTTTAGGAATAATAACATTATTGGTCATCGTGTACGCGGCCGTGGGGCGGGCCCAACTAGAAGAATGCCCGAAAGAACAGGAATCAAACTGGGAAATTGAATGGTTGCTGAGACACGACGATTGTGAAAAGTTTTATAAATGTACATTTGGTAAACCCGTTGAGATGAGTTGCCCGCCTGGTCTTTGGTTCAACCTGAATACATGGCGTTGTGACTGGCCACAAAACGTAGATTGTGAGGACCGTAATATTCCTGGGGACCCAACAACGAGTTCGACAACAACAACAACTACGACACCACCGCCAACCACCCCGTCTACTACAACAACGACTACGACACCACCACCAACCACCCTGTCTACTACAACGACTACAACGACTACGACACCACCGCCAACCACCCCGTCTACTACAACAACGACTACGACACCACCTACAACCACCCTGTCTACTACAACGACTACGACACCACCTTCAACCACCCTGTCTACTACAACGACGACCACCACCATGCCAACACCTGTTGATTTCTTACCCAATGGATGCCCTCTGAACCCTCTTATCCACTGGCTGCTGCCTCACCCAACGGATTGTAACGCCTTCTACTACTGCGTTTGGGGAGATTTGGTGTTGAGACACTGCCCTGCCAATTTACATTTCAACAGAACGATTCAGGTAAGAGAAATGTTAAAGACTCATTGATAACATACTTGTGTAAATGTAAAATATTTGAATATTCTTACAGATATTAGAAATCTCTCGCATTATCGTATGACAAAAGGTTCGGTCTTTAATGAGACTCCTAACGTATTATTGATAGAGGGTACTCAAAGTTTTCTTGATTATTTCATGAATAGAAATTGATTTGATTAATTTTAAACTTCTTTCAAACATCTTTTGTTCCTAATCCGAGAAGAAACGAACTTCCGCACGCTCCAGCCGTCGCAGTAGACGTTCTCAGCGTGGATTGTTCCACTTTGGTTTACACCTAAAAGCTTAAGTAATATTATTCAGGTGAACAAAGGAGGGTTTTTCATAATTTCAACTTTTATCCTCACTTCACCTGGGAATAGGGTAGACCACTAATTTTTATTTTAATGTCCGTCTGGTAGATTATATTATGCCCCGTCCATACGCTTGATGTTTGTCACCAACATTAAACAACAAATAAAGTCACAACTTGAGTTGAATAATTCCACTTGCAAAGGCCCGGAGGATTAAGACGCCCACTTCTCATGCATGAGAGTGCGGGTTCGAAACCTACCAACAGCAAGTACCATTGTGACTTTTTCCAAGTTATATATGTACTTTTTTACTTACCATTGACAAACGGGGAAGGAAAACATCGTGAGGAAACCTGGCTCATAATTTCTAATAATAATATAAGTTCCAAAGCAACAAACCGCTTTGAGCAAGCGGTGGGCACTTATAGGTTGTTGATGATGTGATGTGAATTTCACCTGAGTGGTCTCACTTGGGTGAAATAATTCCTAGTTGGAATGAGGAATTGAAGACACCAAAATATTGACTTGCTTACCTGGGTTAAAGGTGATATCGTCATACACCTGGGCCCCGGAACAAAGCAGGATCCCTGACACTTCCTCTCGCCTCACAAAGAGCAGGTCATTTGTTGATATTCCACCAACAATAGCAACTTGTTCCTGCACATCGTATCGCGGGTTCGATTTCTGTACGGAACAATCCTGAGGGAGATTGCGAAAAATATTTGTATCTGATCCGAATGTGACGTGTGACTTGTATGTTTATGAGCACAACAACCTTCTAATTTATGTCAAAGGTTTTCTGCATAATTATTTATGAACTTAAACTTGGTTCTTTGCCCATCTCTTAACACGATAACATGAATCCGTAGCTCTGATGTGCATGTCATGCACGCACAAATGTCCGATCTATTTTCACGGAATATTTCTTTTTTTCTAAACATTATTTTTACCTACACAGGCACTGTGTCGTGGCAAAAAAAAAGTAATTAAAAAAACAATTTATTCCCGCCTTAAAATTTTCTTACAGATGTTAACGTTAAAAGATATAATATTTTTGTTGTTGTAACGAAAATTATATTATACTGTCTACAATCTATTTTATCGACAAGATCTTTGTTTACTGCCATAAATACTGATTGTTGATAATCTTTGAAAATATCGAAAATATCGATTACTGCATTTCTTATAATAACATTGATTGCAGAATTATATAAATATAAATTCCCATCGATAACCATTTCGCAATAACGAGAACAGAATCCATTTGATTACTTATTTTCAAAATAGTTGAGTGACAAAGTAAGAACATCTAAAGCACTAGAGTGCTGCAGATGTGTTTTTACTTTGGTGTCTTTTTCTTTTTTTTTACCCCAATGTAGGAGTTCCTCATGCAGCCCTCTCGCCTGAGGAGGAAGGAATTATAAGTTAATTATTCAAACAAATATCCCGATTTTTTTTAGTGCATACGTGCACTATTTGCAACTGGCTACCGGTAAATAGTTATGTCGTGAGTTTGATATCCACATTAAACAGTTATTTGTGTTACATAATTTACGAGGGCCAAAACATCTGAAATTGTTTTTTTTAAGTTAATAATGTAACATTATTTGTTCCACAGGTTTGTGACTGGCCTTGGGCCGCCGGATGCCCAGCCTCGTTCAACAAACACTTGCCATCCAGACAGTTACTGAGATAATTTACCTGAGGACCGCAATAACTAAAATGAATTCAAATGAGACAATGTGAAAATTATGTATATTTAATTTTTTTTTACGTATTTTATACCCGAGTATTCTTTATGAATAAAATCTAAGCAAGCTTTAATTAAAGTGTTTTAGTAAGTTATATCCTGAATAATATAGACACTAGAAACGTGGATTCCATAGTAACACCCTCTAACACCTTTCTACGAGCTCAAAAATCTCTCGAGTTTTTGTTGAAAACAAAATTTATACACACATTTATGATTAGAAGAATTTAATCTTCCAGGTTGCTTATCAAAATATAAATTATTAATAATTTATATTTTGTAAGAAATTTCATTGACTTGTTTTTTTCAATAAAATGTCGTCTACTTCACCGCAACATCTACAAAGACGGAGTCAAACGTAGTCAATTTCCGCTGACTCCTACTTTTCGGAATATATCCGTTCCGATAACTGATCATCTTCAGCTTTTTGGCATAACTCTGACGCCCACACTCAACTTTTGCTCCTATATAGAGTCGAAAGTGCAAATGGCCGGTAGGAAGTGGGTATCCTATGGAGGGTGAGACGGTTCTTAACGCCGAAACAATTGCTAAGCCTGTACCAAGCACAGGTTAGGTCCTGTCTGGAGTACTGTTCACATCTTTGGGAATGCTCGTCTAAATATCGGCTGGACGCGTTAGAGCTCATAGAGAGGCATGCCAAGAGGCTCATTGACGATGATGCGCTTGTAGAGGCCCGGCTTCAAAGGCTCGAACACAGGCGTAAGGTTGCAAGCCTTTCGGTTTTTTATCGAATACATATCGGTGAGTGTGCGGGCATTTGCACAACTTGATTCCCCATAGTCCTTTCCATCATCGATTTTAGTTAATTTATTATGTCTTACGATAGTTATTATAAAAACACGCTTATCCATCGTTATGTAATTAAGAATTTCATTATTCAATTTATCTTTTTGGCCTAATTGCCGCCATATTTTATCAGAGTACCCAATTTATTTTTCAATATTCCCTCTCACGAGTTTCGTAAAGAGGGAAAAATTGTAAAAAAAGTCTCACTTGCTTGTGAAATAAAAATAAAATAACTGTTTTATTAGACTAATAAGAAGGTTCGTTTAAGGTTACAATAATATTTTATAAATTGGTTTTATAGAAATAATGTTAAGATTGTCTTAATATGAATATGATTGTTTTCATACGGAAAATAAATTACTCATATGAGAAAATGTAAATATCAACGCAGTGTCCAATAAAAAAAACTTTAAAATAAAATTCAAAGAGATAGTTTTAATTTTACCTAAATATTTATGGGAGATATAAGTTTGATGGGAGAATTTTTTTCATAGTTGGTATCATTTTTGCACCTTGTAAACCAAGCCAAGCCAACAAGCCGCACGCACACATGCAAGTAATTATGCAACGTCATTTTTGTTGCTATTGTATGATGACGCTCTATCTAGACATATTTATAATCTAAGGGTCAACGTCATCGGTCATCGTATGCGCGCCGTGCGAATTTTGGACGCCCGCATCACGCTGCCGACAGCAGAGAAATTGTTCCCGAAGCAGACGTGGTCACTGTGGAAGCCGATGTCATTGTTGGGAGAATGTAACTGTATTTGAGTGAGTCGTTCCAATTACATATTTTCCTAAAACTTAATCTTACCAAAAAATCGTTCCCCAGCTTCTCATAACTTTCTTTACCAAGTAGTCCTTATATCATTTCAAACAGTGCTTATTTTGATTACGTATCAATAGCTCACGCATTAAAATATTCCTTAGTTACGAAACTAGTAGCTGAGCTGTTTTTTCATACATTCTTTACCTTAGCCAGTTTATGTTTATATTCAATTCTATAATATTTTATAATGGCAGACAGTTTAAAGACTTTAAAAGCAAACAATTTTTAACTTTACAAAAATTATTAACATTAATTAAAAGTAGTGCCGCTATTTCACAGTTGTAGCGTCTACATTTGGAAGACTGCTTTATTAAATTCCAAAGCTTACATGCTGAATTTGGCGATTTACAGACTCAAATTGAAGTGCTTGCCGACAATGCTGAGTCCACGTTTACGGAGCGTGAGGTCTTTGATCTTCAGTCTGGTGGCACTCACGCGCAGCCTGCTCGGCGCTTCGAACAACGGTGTTGGGTCGGAGGCGGGCTTCAAAGATGCTGACTCAGGTGCGCATATTTCCTCACGGAATAATTTTGTTCGTTCGTCATAAATAGAAATTGTCACATTTTGATGGAAACTACTGGCTTTTAGTTTCGAGATACTTTTAGTTCATTGGTTCACGACAATACTACTAGCATCAACGCCATAAACAAGTTCACTCGAGCCTACGAGCTTCACTCCAGGGCAAAGCGGTCTTAACTCGTCGAGTACCGTCATTATAGACACAATTAAAGAACAATAGGTTGCGGTCGCCGGTGACCGCTTGGTATTTGACAGTTTAAGAATTAAGAAAATTGATTTTAAGGCCGAACATTGGCCGTTTATCTGTTGATGTGGAACCAATTCTATTAGAAATTTAGTTAATTTAACCAATAAAAATATTAGAGGGCATTAACAACATTAAAAAAGCCCACATAACATTGATATTTAATTATAATTTATTTTATAGATACATAATTAGATGGTATTACTGGTCGTGACTGGGAAGAAAATAGGGATCCTGCTTTAAACAATGGTAATCCTACTTTACAGCAATTTTGTTAATTTTTATTTATTTGTTTATTGCAAAATGTATATACATAGCGGTATTATACTACTAGTACAGTACATCACCCTGTTAGGGCGCAGCAATTTAACTTATAAATAATTATTAAATAATCATCTAATATATTATGTACTTATTTCTCATTCATTATTAACTTAACTTATTCATTATTAACTTAATTACTCACTATAAACTTATTATTATTAAAATTTCTTATGACTTTTAGGCAAGCGAGCGGACTGCTTGGAATCGGTTGAATCAAATAATTGTTCTTCTAAAAATAATATTATTGTAGCCTTAAGCACTAGTTACATAAACAAAATAGTTCTAAAACAAACACTCAAATACAAAATAAAAAATCAAACCATAATCATAAAAACAATTAACTCGTTGAGTACCGTCATTATAGACACAATTAAATAACAATAGGTTGCGGTCACCGGTGTCCTCGCGGTGTTTGACAGCTTTGCTTCCGAGCTATCTATTGAGACTTACATACAAAATGCCCACGAATATAATGTTTGCCTTAATTGTTTACGCTTCGGGCATTCTGCTAAAAAATATACCTTTTTAGATTGCAAATACCTATAGCAAATTGAAGCTTAATACGCTTTTGTACTTAGACTCACAAGAGCCTAAATCCTACTCAAATCTACTGCCCGCAGCTTTGCCTTCTGAATGGCGTGCTGCTCTGAAAGTGGTGCTTTCTGCCAATCCTATGCAGCCTGCTATTTCTTCGCATGTTTTACTGTCCACAGCCCTGGTGAACATCACCGGTGCAGCATGACGAGTAAGAAGTACACTTCGCGCTTGTTGCTGGACAACGGCAGTACAGCGAACTTTATTACGCAGAGTTTAACTGAGAAGTTGGGTTTGTTACGACGCGGTACGAGCACCAAGGTAACGGGTATAAATTAATCAGGTCTCCACCAGCACACAGTCTTGTCACCTCGCAATAGAATCTTACTGTAGATATAGATGGTCACATTGTACCTGAAATTACTAAAGTTCTACCGTCTTCATTCGTGCATATTAGTCATGTCCCTATTCCTTTAGGTCTTATACTAGCAGACCCGTACTTTAACGTTACGTCGGTGTAGATATCCTGGTAGGGGCTGATGGTTTTTGGAATGTCATAGGCAATATAGCTATTGATTTAGTAAAGCACTTACTTACATTGTGTGATACCAAGCTCGGGTGGCTTGTATCCGGTAGTGTTTCACATTCAACAAGCTTATCTTCAAATCATTGTTGCCATTATTCTAGTGTCACTCCCGAGCTTACTTACTTTTGAGAGCTTGACAATGTTTCGTCTAAACATTCGCGATCACTCGAAAATCGGATGTGTGAGCAACAATTCGCTCAAAACACGTTTTGCAACCATGATGTACATGTCGAACATGGGTGGGCGGGGAGAGGTGGAGGGTATGAGTTCCAGAATAATTAGCGTGGATGCTGCCATGGTAGCTTATGAGAAGGGGAGAACGGCAGACCTTATAGGATGTGTCAGGGCTTCAGAACATCATGAAGTCATCGTGTACGAGAACAGGGGTGAGGACTTGAGTTTCCTCAAAAAGCCAGTTCGATACGCGCTGAGGGTGGATTCTCCAAGCGGCTTAGAGCATCTACAACAAAGATATTGGCAACAAAGCGCTCTGCGACAACATCAACAAAACACCGAGAGGGAAAATAAAAAATTAGAATCACGAAGTAGAGTGTGGGCAATAACAGCGGCCGTAAGCTCAGTAACCGGATTGATTTCGTCACCCTTCAGGAAAAATGTGGTCAAATCTGCTCAAGGATTAGGAGGCGCTCAAATACAGTCTCCTCCCTCCAGGTCATCACCAACAAGAGCAGCTATGGGTCGCGTTTGTCCGCCGAGGCTTCGACAAGCGTCCACTACCAGAGACCATGCCGTAAATGCTTTTCTCGAGTTTACCGCAGTGGTGGAGGCAACCAGGCAGGTCAACATGCGGAAATGCGAATCCATTCTGCAGACTTACCTGCTAGGAAACGAGCTAATATTTAATGATAGAATCGAAGCAGCAGGAGCAGTCATATACGACAACAATGCTTCGAGGGTACTGAGAGGAACCTCTATAACTCGAAGTATGGCTGCTTATAACGCAACTGCAGGATTTGTGTCTCTGGACGAGAGGGAATCCGATCGAAAACTCCTCCTGGGGATTCCCTAGTAGTGGTTGCCATATGCACCAGAATTATACTAGACGATAGAATATTAGAGATGGCAAGATCCATTTCTGAATTTGGATCAGACGGCGAAGTTTTTGGAGACTGGCATACTCCGAGGTTTCGCTGGACAAATGGCGGCCCTGGTTGTGGAAAAATGACATGGATAGTAGATCAATTTGAAGCGGAAAAAGATCTAATGGTCACCACGACAACCGAAGCAGCAAATGACCTCAGAGGCAAACTATCCTGCCGATAAAAGAGGACTCGTCAAATCTAGGGTTCGAAAAATGGCGTCCATCCTAGTAAACGGCTTGGGGGAGCGAGAAAGCTGCCATCGACGAATAGTAGATGAGGCTCTCATGAACCACTTTGGAGCCGTTGTGATGGCCGCCCGAATAACTCGAGCCAAGGAAGTCCTTCCAATTGGTGACATAAATCAGCTTCCGTTTATAGATCGTGATAACCTCTTCCCTCTGCTCTACAGCCGCCCTACATATATCACACCCATAAGCCAGACACCCAGACCCGAAACAACAATTTGTGGATCACACAAAGTGTTGTTCTGTGCGGGAATCGAACCCGCGACACGTTGGACGGCAGCCGGTTGCCCAGCCACCGCACCAACCGTGCAGTCAATTGACTTTGGACTATTGTACGCTTTATTGGAATCGGGCAACGTGGCAAGGGTTGAGGCGTCATGGACACATAAATGTCCTACAGTCGGTGGCGCTGTGTGTTGGGTTATTCCCTTCCCAATAAAAAGGTTGACCGGACCAATTGCTGACAGACACACGTCATGCTCGCGAACGGGTGCCTTCTGCTGGGTCAGGTCGACTCTCCTATCTTGTTGGTGGGCTGATTTCACAAAGCCTTCGAAATAGAAATAAATAAATATGCCTAATTATTATGTAATTTATACTTTTGGTAATAATTATAGATGTAGTTAATTGTAATGTGTAACTAGGTTCCATCTTTACTTTATAAAATTTGACTAGATGTATTATAATAAAAAAAATGTATGACAAGGGCACGGACCTAGAGTCTGTGGAGAATTAATCTATAATATTATAAAAAAAAACCATGATGGAAGATTTATCGTTACTATGCCTTTTAGTGGAGATCTAAGTTTATTAGGTCATGCTTACCTAAATACTAGAAATCGTTTTTCACCCCTTAAACGACGATTTGAACGTGATCCTTCATTCAAACGTAAATACATTGAGTTTATCAAAGAATATGAACACTTAGGTCACTAGACCATAGACTCAGACTGAACTCCATCATGTGAAAGCTTCATTACTAAATATTATATTCTACGTCATGGAGCCATACGTAGTTCCGGTACCACCACATAACTTCGCGTAGTCTTCGATGCATCGGCCCCTACTATTTGTGATTTCCGATTAATTATATAAGCGGGCTATCCGAGCAATATATAACTTACGCCGTTGCGAATCGCTAAGAGAATTGTTTAAAACGATAAATATCTTGTCAATACATTCAATACATAATTATATGAAATTATAATGTATGTAAGAAAAAATAGGCAATCGTTCGAAAAAAGAAGCGATAGACACAATCTTAATACTAAAGGCATGAATAAGTTAGCTGTTCTGCAATTCAGACTGTCCAAGGTACAGAAATTCTTCATGGGGTTTTGCGTTAAATGTTATAATAAAATACCAAGTAGCATACTAGATCTTAATGAAAGCAAATTTAAAACATATATTAAGCGCGAATTGTGTAAACAAGCTTATTTCAGAGTGATTGATTATCTTCAGGATTTTTTTTTGCTTGGCAGCGTGTTGGTTCGGCTCCACTGGACAACACTCAAATGTAGTCAGTACCTAGTTCAAATTACGATAATAGGTAATTTAATACTTTGATTCCGATGAAGGCAATCTATTTTTCTTGTGGCTCTTGGTTTTTTATTTTTTTTTATTTTAGTACGTTCTGTTATTTGTATGTTGCGTCAGGTATGTCTTTACATTATTCTCACATGTGTGTACAATATTGGAATATGTATCAGAGCAATGTAAAACAGACTTTTTTTTAAAAGTGTAACGAACGGAGTTTCTTTCTCGTTCTTCTCCACTCGAATCGACATTTTGGAACGAGCGCCTAGCTTCACTTACGGACAGACTGACAGACTATTTTATATATCATATTTGTTGACGTTTCAAAAGTACCAAATTATGGTTTAATTGAAATAAATGCTTTTGAGTTTGAGTTTATTTTTGAGATAATGTTAAGAATTCCTAATAAAATTATCTTTCAATTTCCTAAAGCAGTCAGTTTTGCTTCTGATTGTGCATAGCAGCTCCATTTTCATTTCTATCTCGTTTCTATCCAAAACGTCGTCGTTCGGTGAAAATATAAGTATAAATTAATGTGTCACTTCGGACAGACTGTCCCAAACTTGTTGTTCATGACATAGGTTACTTCTTCCATTTATTATTGTGATGTACCTTTTGCTAATACATATTTTGGAAGATTTTTCATTTACTTTTCTTTAAAGGAACTTATATATCTGAATACAAAACTGTTTAGATTTCTTCTCGAAAACGAATGGAACTAAATAGCTACTTTTAAAATAAGCGGGTACTGAATCATCTTTACGGTAACTACGAAAAGTTTAGTTTTCTAAGTAATTTAGTTTTACACGATTAGGATTTCATCAAAATTTAAATAACAATAGTTAGTACATATTTTGCACCAGTAACTGAATGACTTTTATTCACATAACAGTATCTGCCTGAATGACCTAACAATCCCAAACGTACTTGCTTATCATGTACCTAAATACTTCATACAACAAACTAGTAATTAGGTACAATACCTTGTACATAATCAAATCGAAAGTGATAAATTTTTATCACAGCTTTGATAGTCTGCTACCGCTGCATGTTGATATACAATGCAGTCATTCCTCATCTACTCATCTACCTAATAGATTAAAAGGATATTGGTAGATTCCTATTTTAGTGAAGGTATAAAACTAATTGGACGTTGTGCTGGAGCATTCAATTGGATCTGAAACTTATAATGAAAGGTTCGTTATTGTAAAATCTTTTAATTCTGTGACCTGTGTTTATAGTATAAGCAAAAGATAACATATTGCATTTTTGAAATAGATTATTATTATCATTATTTCATATTTACATTAAAAATTATTTTTATTTTTAGGAATAATTGCATCATTGGTCATCGTGTGCACGGCCGTGGGGCGGACCCAATTACAAGAATGCCCGAAAGGACAGGAAACTAATTGGGAAATTGAATTGTTGCTGAGACACGAGGATTGTGATAAATTTTATAAATGTACATTTGGTAAACCCGTTGCAATGAGTTGCCCACCGGACCTTTGGTTCAACCTGGAAGAATGGCGTTGTGACTGGCCACGAAACGTAAATTGTGAGGACCGTAATATTCCTGCCCTGTCAACAACGAAGAGCTCGATAACTACCTCAATTACTACTTCGACTATGCCAACCTGCACCACCTTCGTACCTCGACCACCTAGTCATCCCAATGGATGCCCTATAGACCCAAGCATCCACTGGTTGCTGCCTCACCCGACTGATTGTTCCGCCTTCTACCATTGTGTCTGGGGAAGACTAGTGTTGAGACACTGTCCTGCCAATTTACATTTCAACGCAAAGATTCAGGTCAGCCAAAGTTGCATATACCTACATGGTCACTTTTTTACAGTGTAACAAACGCAGAAACAATAATTACAGGATCATGTACATAAAAATTGCCACCGATAGTATCTCGGAGTAGTTAGCTAGAATTCCATTTGATTACGTATTTTGAAAATATTCGAAGGACAAAGTAAAGTCATCTGAAGTACTAGAGACCATTTTAGAATTGCAAGTTAACGATTAAAACAAATATCCCGATAACTTCTTCAGTTGATACGCCTGCACTTGTTACAACCGGTTGCCGGGCAATATGTCGTGGATTCAATACCCGTAATGTGTATGCGGATTTAGAATGTTCTAAACGTATCCGCGCAACAGGATGATGCCTACGATGAGAATACGCCACTTTCAAGATATAACTTATCCGGACAAAAATTTTAAGGTTTTAGTAAAAAAAATTCAGATATTTTTTGTAACGAATAAGTAAGTAATGTTATCTTTTTTTACAGTTTTGCGACTGGCCATCGAACACCCCATGCCAAGTTTGATTTCAAGACTGTCACTGAGTTAATTTACCTGAAGACCACATGACTACAACGAATTGAAATGAGACAATATGAAAATGTATATTTTTTTAAATAATAGTTTGTACCTAACAATATATTTATAAATAAAATCTAAGCAAGCTTAGTAAAGTGTTTTTTTAGTTTTATAGACACTAGAAGCGAGGGTTTTTTGTCATCACCGTCTAACAAGATAACCAAATATTTTTAGTTATGCTATCCAATACGGGACCGCAGGGTCCCGGACATTTGGAAGGTGTATGAGGAGCCGAAGTCAAATATTTAAATATATGTAGATATAATAGGCAGTCAGTCAGCTGATGAACCGGATGTGTATCAGTGTCTGATCTTCCGTCCATCAACGAGCTCGTAACTATTGTTAAAACTTTGTCTTTGAATACATCATCTGGTGAACACAAAGTCTCAAATAAAATGATAATAGAAGCATGTAAATCCGCGGCTGATGCGATCCTAGCTGTATTCAACCGTTGTATCGCGGAAGGTGTATGGCAACGTGGATTTATACGCACAATCCCCAAGA